CCACTGGGACAACTTCCTTCCACTTCACATGGTCTCATCCTCCAACAAGCTAGCTGAGCTGCTTCAAGGGAAGTAACACATTCCAAGAGGCTAAGGGCTGAGGGTGCAAACTACAAGGCATCTTGAGGCCTGGCCCAGAAGAATATGACTTCTCCTCCATTCTTCTGGTCAAAGCAAGTCACAAGGTTAGCCTAGATTCAAGAGGTGAGGAAACAGACTCTACTTCTTGCTAAGAGTAGCTGCAAAGCATTTGTGGCCATTTTTAATCTACCACAGCTACATTCTCACAAATAAAAATAATACAACAGAGCTGTTAGGAAATAGCCAAATATAGCATAATATAACATAATATGCAAGAAGATAATTTCCTGAGAGCCTTTCCCTCTCTTGCAAATATATGTAATATATCTCATATATATTACATATATATGAGACAAGGTCTCACTCTGTCACCCAGGCTGCAGTGTAAGTGGTGCAATCACAGCTCACTGCAGCCTCAACTTCCCAGGCTCAAGTTATCCTCCCACCTCAGCCTCCTGAGTAGCTGGACTACAGGCATGCCCAGCTAATTTTTGTATTTTTTGCAGATACAGGGTTTCACAGTGTTGCCCAGGTTGATCTCAAACTCCTGGGCTCAAGTGATCCACCTGCCTCAGCCTCTCAAAGTGCTGGGATTACAGGCATGAGCCAGCATGCCCATCTTATATTCAAAATATTTTTATTATATTTAAAAGCCCTCCCATGGTTCTGGGGCTTGACAAAAAGCTAGAGCAAAAACTTGGGCTCTCTTTTTTTGACCTGAACTTCAAAACACATCATTTCTTACTGCATTAGATTTTCATTAGTTAATATCTCATGAAACCAATTGCTAGTAACCTAAAAGTTCATTTTGTGGACTATTCAGCCTCTTTCTTGCTGTCCATCTTCAAGGCAATTTTTTCTTGGGATCATCACTAGAAGTGCTAGTAAAATTACCTGACTCCCCACACAATCGAAACAGGAATTGATGGGGAAGGGGAAAGAGGGAGAAAAAACAAAAGTATAATTCAGCAAACTGAAAGACAATGGTCAAGTTCTCTTTTGTCTAAAGGGTTCCTACTTTAAAAAGCCAGATCTCATATATTAATGGCAAAGGATATGAATAGTCATAATTACAGCTGTTATTTATTGAGTGCTTACTTTAGGCAAGTCACTGGTTACATACCTGCTCTCCTTTAGTTCTGTGGCAGTCTTGGGTAACCATTCTACAAATGGGGAAACTGAGGCTCAGAATTTAAGCAATTTGCCTATGGTCACAGTGTCAGAGCTGCAGGATTCAAATCTAAGAAAATACTACTAGTAAACAATGTGGAAAAAGATCCAACATACGAAAGAAATCCAAGTTAAAACATTATTTGAAGTATCATTTATTACCTACCAAATTGCATATTTTTTAATGGTAATGGCCAGTGGGTGGCAGGGGGCCAGTGAAACTGGTCCTTGTATTGTAGGTAGCATTATAGATGGGTATAATCCTTTTGTGAAGCAATGTGAAAGTACATAAACAAGAGCCACAGAAATGATCATGCCCTGTCTTAGTCTATTTTCTGTTGTGTATAACAGAATACCTGAAACTGGGTAATTTATAAGAACAAAATCTGTTTAGTAATATTACAGTTCTGGAGGCTGGGAAGTCCAAGGTCAAGGTGGAGCATCTGGTGGAGAACCTTCTTGCTGGCAAGGACTCTCTGCAGAGTTTCAAGGCAATGCAGGACATCACATGGCAAGGGAGCTAGGCATGTTAACAGGCTAGTTCAGGTCTTTCTTCTTATTATTATTAAGCCACCAGCCCCACTCCCATGATAACACGTTAATCCAGTGATGAGGGCAGAGCCTTCATGACCCGATCTCCTCTTCAGCACCCTACCTCTCAATACTGTCACATCAAGGATTAAGTTTCAACATGAGTTTTGGAGAGGACAAACATTCAAACTATAGCATACAAGTCCACTTTCTGAAATCTATCCTAAGGGAAACAGTCCAAAACTTGGAAAAAACTATATTTATGAACACAGTCATCAAAATGTTATTTAAATAGTAAAAACTTGAAAACAACTGACATGACCAGAAATATGTGAATGATAAACTAAACCACATCTATTAAACCATTTTATAATAATTAAAGATTGTAAATATGAAGACTGTGAAATAGTAGGAGAATGCACTGGGGAAAACAAAAAAGCAAGATGCAAGCTGGGTTTGGTGGTGCACAGCTATGGTCCCAGCCACTTGGGAGGCTATGGCAAGAGGACAGCTTGAGTCCAGGAGTTCCAGGCCAGCCTGGGAAACATGGTGAAACCCAACTCTTAAAAAAAAAAAAAAAAAAAAAAAAGAAAAAGAAAAAAAAAAGGCCAGGCATGGTGGCTCATGCCCGTAATCCCAGCGCTTTGGGAGGCCAAGGTGGGTGGGTAGATCACTCAAGGTCAGCAGTTTGAGACCAGCCTGACCAACATAGTGAAACCCCGTCTCTACTAAAAATACAAAAATTAGCTGGGCGTGGTGGCAGGTGCCTGTAATCCCAGCTACTTGGGAGGCTGAGGCGGGAGAACTACTTGAACCTGGGAGGTAGAGGTTGCAGTGAGCCTAGATCATGGCACTGCACTCCAGCCTGGGCAACAAAGCAAGATTGTCTCAAAAAAAAAAAAAAAAAAAAAAAAGCAGAATGCAACCTAAATGTAATTACTATATTTACAAATCTGTTAATAGGGGGTAGGAATGGGGAGCTAGCAAGAAATATTATAGAACATTAAAAGTAGTTACGTTAAGGTGATAAATTTATGATTGCTTTCCTTTGCTATTATTGCTATTTTTTGGCAATGTGCTTATATTATTGTTAAAATGTAAGATAATTTCATTTAAAAATAAACCAAAACATTTTTTTTTTCAGAGAATCAAAGGTAGCTGTGTTGAAAGTAACATAATCTGCCCAGTGATGCTGGGACCAGGTCCTTATATCTGGGAGTTAAAAATGTAGCAAAGTTATTTCCATCTCCAGTTCCCAGCCCTTAATCCATAAATCCCAACGATATCACCTCAGTCATTGAACAACTTGAGCTTCTGATCTACAGGAACTGTCAGGCTCCTTTTCAGCTCTCCTAGTATCAAACCAAACCTACCACTCTGAACGCCACCTTCCCTAGACTTTTCCATCACCTCACTGTCCTTCCTTTCCTCTACAATTCTGAGGGCTTTTTTTTTTTTTTTCCCCTGTCATCAGATCCTCAGAGATCAACCTAGTATGGCAGGAATGTCTGAAGGCATTTTTGTGAGAGTCAGTCGTAATGTTTAACCTTGGTCCTGAGCATGTTCTGGAAACAAAGCATGTTTAGACAATGACAACATCTCTTTTTCCCAAACTTAAAAAGTATGTATTTCAAACTGAAACGCTTTTCTGGATAATTCTTTTAACTTTATGTTAAAACAAGAGCCAAGCCTCATGGCCTATGTTTTTTAGAATATTCAAACATTTAAAATAAGAAATTGAATCCAGTTGGAAAAAATTCCACTGGAAAGTGTAATCTAGTTGATTCTGCAGCTGGGCTTAGTTCAGCTATAAATTCAAAAGCTAGTCCTGGAGTAAGTGAAATAATTTAAGTAGTATAGTTGAATTACCTCTGTAGGACATCTGGGCAAAACTGTGAGATGTTAGAACCCTTGGCAGGATATTTCAAAGTGGGACTTGGTGTAGTCTCTGCGGCTTCTGCTTCTCTTCCTCCCCTTGCTTCCAAATATCTGTCTCACCTACTTGTTCCTTTCCAGAACCGGGTTACTCCATCTTTTTTACATCCAAACCATCAGTGATGTCCAGGTCCTTTCTCATAGTAATACAATCCTGTCTGCAGATTAACTTCAGAGGATATATATTTTGTATTTTTTTTTTAACATGTAATGTTGTTAAACATATGTTTTCAAATTGATGATGCCTTAGAGAGGATTTTAAATTTAAAACCAAATCCCATCTCTATAGCATTTCATAAGTTGCTCATATTGGTGTGACAGGTATTACCAAAACTTTTGATGAAGTTTCCTATCCAAACCAGAGGCCTCTTAAATGAAAATAACAGCAAGATCACAACTTTCTTTCTGGTGGGAGTCGGGCACAGGGTCTCGCTCTGTTACGGAGGCAGTGTTACCTAGTGCAGTGGCATGATCTTGGCTCACTGCAGCATTCACCTTTGAGGCTTAAGCCATCCCCCCACCTCAGCCTCCCAAGTAGCTGGGACTACAGGTGCGAGCCACCATTGCTGCCTAGCTAATTTTTGTATTTTTGGGAGTTTCACCATGTGGTCTCGAACTGGGCTCAAGCAGTCTGCCTGCCTCAGTCTACCAAAGTGCTGGGATTACATGCATGAGCCACTGTGCCTTGCTAAGATCACAATTTCTATTTGTGCTAGCTGAGGCAGATATTTTACTGTTCTGACCTTATTTAGAAACAGTTACTAACAACTCACTTGAATTGCAGGCCCATCATGTGACAAGCTGGGTAAAAGAATTTGCAAGTGTTCTGATTTTGTTATTCTATTTGTTTTAAATTGAATGTTTGTCCTCCAGAAATTCTTATGTTGAAACCCCAACTTCCACTGCAACAGTAATACAAAGTGGGGCCTCTGGGAGTAAGTAGGTTTAGAAGAGATAGTAAGGGTAGAGCTCCCATGATGGGATTACGACTGTATCAGAAGAGAAGACTAGAGCTGTCTCTCTTTCTCTCTGCCATGTGAGAAGAGAGCAAGAATGCAGGCATCTGCAAACAAGGAGGGACTTCCCAAGACACCAGTTGAAGGTACCTCTATGTTTATCTTGATCTTAGACTTCCCAGCCTCTAGAACTGTGAGAAATACATGTTTGATGTTTAAGCCACACAGTCTGTGGTAGTTTATTATAGTGGCCCAGGGTGACTAAGGCACTGTTCTTCCCTGAGATAGTGTTTGAATAACCAGTACTTACTTTGGCTCTGTGTTCAGATTACTGACTCAGCGATGGAGATATTATCAGCAAAATGCCATTACCTGCACATTTTGGATATCTCTGGTTGTGTCTTGCTTACTGACCAAATCCTTGAGGACCTTCAGATAGGCTGCAAACAACTCCGGATCCTTAAGATGCAATACTGCACAAATATTTCCAAGTAAGTATGTACCTGACTATGATAAACTTTGAGACTACTTTCTGAGAAAACATAGTATAAGGCTATGATGTTCATAATACATAGTGGCTTTCAGTGTTAGGAAGTTTCATTTCATTTTATTTTTTGCCAAATTGAAGCAAACATTTTGAGTTGTTCTAAAGTGGCCTTTGTGGTTTCCTATCCCTTTTCCAGTAGGCCTTTGACTTTAAGCATCTTCCCTTCCTTGACCAAGCAGGTGTTCAAAACTTTAACTCTAGCTCTTCCTCTGTTCATTTCTCAAAATACAGTCCATTCAGTTAATCTCCCCTAAGGGATTAAGAGAATAATCTGATTAAACCAGCTCACAAGTTTTTGCCTTTTGACTGAGGACAAAAATATGCAAGTATTTTAACTGACCTGATGAAACAACATATGAAATGCTTAAAATAAGAATCCTTAACCTTTCCCTGACATGGAAGGTAAGGTTCTATTGTGCAGATGTGAAAAATACTAAGAATTAATATTATCAAAGTATAAAGTGCACAATGTGGCCCAGGCATGTGGATTTCACAGAGAAACTTTCTTAATTAAGTAGCTGTGGTGTGAGCTAAACCATGAGCCCCTGGTTACTTGAGGCCTGAGGAAGAAAATGGTTTCTTATCCAAGGAAGTATGTGTTAAAATGAAATAGAAAAAAGAAAGAAAAATTACTTGTAAAATAGCCATTCTCACTGGGCCCACGCCTGCAGGAGGGCAGCCAGCTGGAGCTGGATTAGAGAGAAGGGGGTAGGTCCTTGAAAATTTTTGAGAAGGGGTTAGAAACTCAACTTTTCCTGATAGGTCTAGAGATAACTCTGATATGAATACTATTAACCTCATTGAAAGAACATACCATGAAATCGGGTCCTAGGAGTCTCTGCAAAACTCGTCAGATTATTAACAGCCAACTTTGGGCAAGATGACAGTGAATGAATAATGTGTTACTCAAAGGAGCTTAGCTTCTAATCTTTTGATTGTATTTTGCCAATCACTATTTATAAGAACTAATATTATTGAACTTCTAATAAGATTCTGGAATGAATGGAGACTTTCTGGCAAGGGTCTCTTTGAACCTAATCATGGTGTGATGCTATAGTTTGAATGTGTTCCCCAAGTTCATGTGTTGAAAATTAATCCTCAGTGCAACATTGTTGAGAGATGTGACCTTTAAGAGTTGATTAGGAGATGAATGCCATTATCATGGAAGTGAGTTAGTTATCACGGGAGTGCGTTCCTGACAAAAGGATGAGTTAGGGCCCCTTCTCTCCTGCCATGGGATGATATAACAAGAAGGCCCCTGCCAGTAGCTGGCACCTGATATTGGACTTCCAGCCTCTATAACTATGATAAATAAATTTCTTTATAAATTACCCAGTCTGTAGTATCCTGTTATAGCAACATATGGGATGTTGAAGTATGATTAATATAGTGACTGGTCAAGAAGACCCAGGATATCCAGTAACATCTACATCCTGCCTTTAACTGCTCAGTTTTCTTGCTAGGTCTCTAGATTTAAAAAATATGTATGGAAAAAAAAAAAAAAAAACCAAGGCATAATAAGACTTGATTACTAGCTGGGCTTTGTCCCAAAACCCCAATGAAGAACTCTAATTTAACCAGCTATAGCTATGAAAAATTCCATTGTCTAAGCCATGACAGCGAAAAGGCCTATTTTATCTTCTACAATCAAGCTTGGCTATCCCTATCCACAAGAAGCAGGCAGAGACTTGGCCCTAATACTTAGAAAGGGGCTGGTTTGGTGTGTGCACCTCATTGTCTAAATAGGCCACACCACCACCTTTTAGTCTCCCTGAAAGCTTTACCCTTGTTTAGCTCTACCAGGAAAGAAGCCTAGAATCCCTTGATTCCATCTTAGTCTAGCAATGGAGACAGTCTTCACTGCAGAGTGGCTTGGAGAGTCCCAGGGTTTAAACTAGTAATGCTCCAGAAACATCTGTCTTTATGTGTCCAACATCTGTCCAACATCTAGGAGAGGGTGCTACTTGTCAGTTAGGGGGTTCCTGAAATACCCTGGCCTCAAAATTTTTGATTAGAGAAGTGGTAAGGCCTAGCTGCATGCAGCTGTTTGGGCTCAGCTCTAAGGGCTCTCTTACAGAGCAGCTTTGTTTTGCATTTAGATCCTTTGGTGGAGCTAGAAATGTAGAGTGTATGTAGACCCTTCAAAACTCAAGCCCTTGATGATCTCTAATCCCTTACCTATGCTCAGTCTTTAACCAGGGCCAGTGTGGCTCCCTCAACTGCAGAGGCTTTGTCTTGTCTGGGTGAAACAGAACCTTTGGCAGGTGGGATAAAGGAGATTTTTCTGGCTTGGGAAGAAGCTCAATGACTTTGAATCACAAAGCAATGCACTCCACATGCTTGATTCCATTTTGACCATGAAAACAATATACGATGCAGCCCTTAAAATCCAATTATAGCCATCAGAAGAGACTGTTTTATATATAAATTCCCTCATACTCAATGGAATCGGAAACTACTGCACCAGCTTTGGAAATCAAAGAGGTCTGCTCAGCTCACCCATTTTGAACCAGAGGAGCAGCAAACTTTTGGTCAATGAGCAAATTGGCTCTAGCTCTTCTGCAGGAGAGTTTCCAGCAAAAGATACAGCTGCCATTCTAACCAACCCCAGAGTTAGAAGGGTTTCCAGGAAGTGACCCTAGAAGCACCATGTGGATGCAAGATAAAGACTCCTTTATTTCAAGGAGGAATAAGTAATAACTATGATCAGAAAACATGACAAAAAATTTAGTTATTTGTATCTGAAGCAGTTGTGACAGCTAGCCATTCAACTTATGGCCCTCTGTGGGGAAAGGCAACAGGGTAAAAGGAGTAGGAGAGAGGAAGAAAGACCTTCACAATGGCCCCTACAACCCAGGAGGGCCTGAACCACAGAGAACCTGAAGAATCACTAATTGTATAGTTAGCAAAAAGGCTAACCCAAGAACAGAAAACCAAATACTACATGTTCTCACTTACAAGTGGGAACTAAATGATGACAGTGCATAGACATATGGGTGGGAACAACACACACTGGGGCCTGTCAGAGGGTGGACGGTAGGAGGAGGGAGAGAATCAGGAAGAATAACTAGCGGATACTGGGCCTAATACCTGGGTGACGGAATGATCTGTGCAGCAAACCACCATGGCCCACATTTACCTATGTAACAAACCTGTATATCTTATACATGTATTCCTGAACCTAAAATAAAAGTTGGAAATATTTTTTTTTAAAAAAGTAAAGGGACCTTTCTGATATTTTTGTGTCTGTAGCCAAAAAACTTCCATTCTAGAGAAATCATAGAGAAAGTCTTAGTGGCCTTCAGAGCCCCAAACAACAGTATGAAGATTCCTTGAAGGCCTTCTTTAGCAGTTGCTAGAAGGGTCAACTCAGGCAGTTCCTACTGCTCAGGCATTCTAGGAGATCTGTGTTGCTAAAAAAATAAAACTCTTATCAGAGTTCTCTCCAGCTCATGGAAAGGTTCAAACCCTTTTGATCTGGAGCTGTTGACTTTTATTATCGGTATGAACAAGTAATGTTATTTAACAGTTATTATTTGCCACATACTGTGATAAATCCTATTTTACATATATTATATAATCCTCACAAATACCCTTTATCATAAAAATGGATAAGGAAACTGGTTTAAACAGGTTAAATAAGGTGTCCAGTTACACAAATAAGGAGAGCCATACTTTGTACCTAGGTCTTAATCATACTGTGCTGCTCTTTGCCTTTAGATTACATTCACAAGCTTTTTAAAAGCTCTGACATTCAAGGGATGTGATTGGTAACGGTAGACACATGCTCTGTTGTGCCCATCTGATGCACAATAAGAGAGGCTGTGGATTACGAGCAGTCCGTGGTGGTGGCTCCAACATTCCCCCCCTTTTTTTTTTTGCCTACTCAAGAGATTAGAAGGAAAGGTGAGCAAGGGCACATAATGTTACTACAGGGCTAACCCGGAATCTCTTTTAATTTATAAAAAGCAAAAGTCACTAACAAACTTCAGTACAGTGTTATTATTAACCACCTAATATGATACATTACCACTGTGACATATCAGGTTTGAAAATCACGGTTCTATACTGATCCAAAGAAACCTCTCTCACCAGGTTAAATGAGTAATGATCACTAACCATTGCAGCAGACTGGTTGAATTCCCAAATCATTGCATACAAGGTCTCACAGTCATGTAGGCCAAAACAGGATGGAATGCAGTCAAAGGATTCCAAATGTGCTCTATGGAATTTAGAACATGCAGTGATTCCTAAGAATACATTTTCTTTTCAATATTTCCTAGCTCCTATGTGCTGATCATACTACAGCATCAAGCTATTAAGAGAGAAAGGGAAGGGGCAGAAGAGAGAGAGAGAGATGTTTCTGGCAGAAATACAGTTTCTACATTTTTTCTTATTTAATTATTTATTTATTATTGTACTTTAGATTCTGGAGTACATATGCAGATCATGAAGGATTGTTGCAAAGGTACATACATGGCAAAGTGGTTTGCTGCCTTCATCCCCCACATCATCTATATCTGGTCTTTCTCCCCTCATTATCCCCCCCTACCCTCCTCACCCGCTGCTGTCCGCTTCCATAGCCCCCTCCACTGACTGTAGTATGTGATGCTCCCCTCTCTGTGTCCATGTGTTCTCATTGTTCAACATTCACCTTTGAATGATGACATGCAGTGTTTGGTTTTCTGTTCTTGTGTCAGTTTGCTGAGAATGATGGTTTCCAGATTCATCCACGTCCCTATGAAGGACACAAACTCATCATTTTTTATGGCTGCATAGTATTCCATGATGTATATGTGCCACATTTTCTTTACCTAGTCTATCAATGATGGACATTTAGGTTGGTTCCAGGTCTTTGCTATTATAAACAGCGCCACAATGAGCATATGTGTGCATGTGTCTTTATAATAGAACAATTTATAATCCTTTGGGTATATACCCAGT